CTTCCTGGGAATGTCGGGAGCTAGCTAACTTGCCTTTAACCAGTTCCATCCACTTGGACTGTTCCGTACAGGGGCGGTCTCGCTTTGTGCAGGCCCGCGTTCAATTCCCAAGTTCTATAGTTGTATTGCCTTAGTGCTTTCTCGTGATAATTACCTAATCTGGCCTCAACGCTCGGGCCTTCGGGAAGGAGATGATTACCCGAAAGGTCACCAGTTATTGCAGCCTGCAGATGATGATGTCAACTCTGTTAATTCTTAGGAAAGTAGGAGTTAATGAAGAGTGACGGGCTTCTTGCATGCTTCATAGATGATTGACTTCTTTTGCTTAGCATGTTCATCGTGCACAGTAAACCAGCAGAATATTATGAGACTGGCTAATTTTATATGATTGGGATTTGTAAAGATAATGTTTTATTTAATGACAAGTTTCGTTTATATTATAGATCTGCCTAGCGTTTTAGTCAGACTCGTGCACTTAGGCCATGTTGCCAAGGTCTGTTGTAGCCATAATTGCTCAGCTAGGCCCATTGTAGCCGTAACGGCTCAGCTTGGCCTATATATCAAGGACCATTATAATCGCATAACTGCTAAGATACTTCTAGTTATCAGGAAAAATCGTAGCCAAAAAAAAAAACGCAGTATATATTTAATTTATATTGTTATATTTCAGAAGAAAATCAGCCTGCACATAACGAAATTAAATTTACATTGATGACCGACAATGCTATCTATTAAAAGCCTAATTTCACTTACATTGGACTAGATCGAAGAATAATCTATAATATAAGAGAGAATGTCTGGGCAAAGTTGGAGGGTAGACGGTTGGGGGCCTTCCTTACCCAAATTACCTTACCTTACCCAAAATTTACCCAATTACTTTACCCAAATTTTCAGGTTGGGGTACGGGACGGACACAGGCTGCTGCACCTACCCCCCAAAATATTAAGAAAAATACAATTCAAAACAGATTTTTTCTTGTAGAAATATATACCATTATTAGGTTCGGGCAGTTTAGTACATCAGTTTATAGTGTGGTTGTGAACGCTGGAGAAGACGGGGTGCTACACTACAGGGACGAACTGTAGTCGTGAGTCCCGGCCAGGCAGTTACCTGGGGCCAGATTCACGAAAGCATTTACGAACGTGTACATCTTTCCTCAATCTTTGACGGTTATGGTTACATTTATTAAACAGTTTACAAGTATGAAAACTTCCCATTCATCTATTGTTATTGTTATAAACAGCCTCCTGGTGCTTCGGAGCTCATTAACTGTTTAATAAGCTTACGTTTAAAGCTTACTTAAATAAGCTTAATAAGCTAGCTTACACATATACACATACAAATATATATGTATATTTACGTCTCTCCTACTTTGACAGGTTTAGATAGCTGCTCTAGAAACTAGTGAGTTATTAAGACCCAACCGCAGAAGGTCGAGGACCGAAAATTAATTATTGCCAAAGAAAGATAAACTAGTTTACCACTGTAATTAGCAGAATTACTCCTGTTGCTGTTCGGAACAGTCTATAATTATACTCTGTTAGCTATTGTCGCTACCCCTGCGACTCGACTTTAAACAGACTTGTCTGTTTAAATGTTTTTGATTTTAATTTTTTCGGTATGTTATTTATCATTAAGTTTCGTGTAGAATCGAGAGCTTTATAGACTTGATGTTAAGACTAAATAAGTCTTCATTATGAGGAGCGTGACGTCCTGCCGTCAGCCAGACTGTTGATCCTTCATGACATAAGTCAGAGTGGATTACCGTGGCGAACAGTGAAGACCAAGTGGTGAGTACGGGGCGGGCTGCCGGCCCTAAGCTCCAATGGGTCTTGTTCATCGATCTTGTCGCTGTCTCCAACACCACCAACACTGCCGTCTCCAACACCACCAACCCCGCCGTCTCCAACACCACCAACGCCGCCGTCTCCAACACCAACGCCGCCGTCTCCAACACCACCAACACCGCCGTCGTCAACACCTCCATCGCCGTTGTCTCCACCACCCACCAGCACACACAGTGCCACCGCCACCACCAAGTATCCAGGTGTGTCGAGGTACAGGCAGTCGTTTATCAGGTGGCATCGTACACGAAGCTTTCTGAAGAGTGAGGTGTTGGTCGCTCACACTCTTGGTAACACTGACACACCTGACCTTTACCAGTGAGAGTTATAATAACCTCTTCACACACACACACACACACACACACACACACACACACACACACACACACACACACACACACACACACACACACACACACGCAAAGTTTTCCTTTGGCGTAAGGGAAATAGGGTCAGGAGTCATTGCATTAGACAACCAACGACTAGAAAAGCTTGGTCCAAGAGCTAGAGTTTGATCCTGCAGGAACAAACATGTACTGGCGTGGATGGTGTGTACATCACTAAGCCAGGCTATGCCATTGCATTGGACATGTGACCACATGCGCAGTTTGGTTAGACTAGAGGCCAGGATAACATGTACAAACAAGCACACGGATTTTCAATCTTCAGCAAGGTGCGTCTGGACTTGGTACACATTACTCTCCTGCCTTCTACATTCTAACTTCAACGAATTTAAATAATGCTTAAACTTTTCAAGAAATATTCTTGGAAAAAGTCAATTTTATTGGTGTGTTAGTATGTATGTGTGTGGACACCACCTTAACCTGACAGCCGGGGTCTGAGCAGTATAGATTACAGTCATAAGTAGGTTAGTGTGTGTGTTATCGGTAAATTGGATCTCTTGCATAACACGAGGCTAGGCTCGGCCGCTCCTTCTAGTTCACTGTTATCACTGTTGCACAACAGGTAAGAGCTGCAGTCAAAAAAGCTTACCAAATCCTAGGAATAATCAAGCGAACATTTGACTTAGTAAAGGTTCGAAGTAAAAAAAAAGGGGGTATGGGAGTAAGGAAAATGTGGTAGTGATTCAGTTGTATAAATATCTTGTGCGCCCCCATTTGGACCAAGCATGGAGACCTCATCCTCAGTAGGACTTAGCTGCTCTGGAGAACGTGCAACACCGGGCAACAAAAATCATCCCAGAGCTAAGTCATCTCTCGTATCGGGAACGGTTGAGGGCCACAGGTAACTGTACTGCCCTTGCTAATCCGCCTGTTCGAACGTGTTCTAATCTAACCAACCAGAGAACCCACGAACAGAACATTATGACAATTTCCCGAGCTGCTAACATTTTCGTGTACATGAGTTTTTGGCCTTAGGTAAAGTATGTAAAAATTCGACGTGCTGTAAAGAGAACAGGTGGCGCTGATCGACCAGATGGAATCACGCCACACTCGTGGAGACATGACAAACAAGATGTGTGGGACTGCACTTGTGTATCCACCTTGGCTGCCACATATCCAACCTCTCCTGGTTGACCAACCTCTCCTGGTTGACCAACCTCTCCTGGTTGACCAACCTCTCCTGGTTGACCAACCTCTGTTGGTCAACCAGCAGCTGCTACCACACACACACAGAAAGAAAGCAAACGGGTACAGATAAATAAATCACCGGTTCCTATAGGATCCAAGACCCTTGGTCAGTAAGGAGAGTGCAGTGAGGTTTCTGAAGGATCTGGGTTCCAGGTTCGTCGAAACAACAAGAGACCCTAGAGCGGCGAGCGTCCTTTTTCAGCACCTCAGTGTGGCGATCCAGAGGGGGAATTGCCACTGTATCCTCGGCTCCTGCTCGGCGCCGGAGGTGTTCGAAAAGAATTACAGCTTCTAGGAAATAAACTTCCTTTTATTTCCTCGTATTGTCCTCATTTTGTAACCAATTATTTATGTAACTGTGTAACCTTGTATAATAAAGTGAATAATAATGACAATAATAATAATAATAATAATAAAATGAGTGGTAGGAAAAGCAAATACTCGTATGTATTTAGTCAAATGGAAAGTTTTCTCTAAATTCTCTTTATTCTCTTCTCCGAGGCTATGGGACCCCACAATCGCACCAGAGGCAGATCCCTTATATATATTACATTAAACTTGTAGGAACGATCCTTTAGTGATATTGTATTTATTTTATTGGCACGTAAATTTGTTGCTCACACTTATTCGATATCGTGGTGTAAATCTGCCTGTTATTGAGGTAGAGGTGTGTCAGTGACCTCTAGAGGCGTGTCCAGCACCCAGACACGGCCCCGGTGGGCGTGGCTCCTGGAGCTGTCACGGAACTCATCCCTTGACCGCGTGTGGCTGGTGGTGTATGATCAGCTGGTCGTCTGGGAGTGTTTACGCCGGTAGTTGGTCACGAGCTGCTATTTACAGAGCATGTCTGTCGTGACGCGGGAGCCGCTCCCATTATTCTTGTGAATGTGAGGTATTCTGATGTTATCTGGCGAGGAATGCAAGATCGTCTCCGGGACGTTATTTTGGAAAAATGTCAATTCATCCTGGAGTGGTTAGTTAAGGACCAGGATATGATCGACACCAGTTTATCCCCGGGTGAATGACCTGGCCCCGTGACCCAACCGGACGGACACCACACACATACAACATGCTGTAGTTTTGCTAACATTTACTCCACATTGTTGGCACCCGGTTTTGATTTTGACCTGAAATAATCTGAAACAAATGACTACACAAATTTATAATAATTATTATTAAAATAATAATATTAATAAATACTACGCGTCTAACGATGGCAAAAGTTGAAATAATATTATGGCGAAGAGTGGTTTAAACTATAACATTCAGGTTTTAGAGACACCGAGACAAAGATGGACATTAATGTATCATATACAGAAATAACGACCAAAAATATACAATTTCTGGGAAGACTGAAAATGAAATGTAAATGTGTGAAGCAACACTTCCAATCCTCAGTTCACTAGAGCTAAAAATAAACAAACGTAATCAGACTGAAGTGAGAAACATCTTGAAAATTGATGAACATTTCCTGCTTGATGACCAGACCACACACCAAAAGGTGAAGGGACGACGACGTTTCGGGCCGTCCTGGACCATTCTCAAGTCGATTTCCTGCTTACAGAGTGTGAGGTGTCGGAGTGGCGAGCGTTGGAGCGGGTGGTGGTGGCCGAGGCCCGCCAGGAGCACTCCGGGGGCGCGGCAGCCCACCTGATGACGGAGCATCACAATGGACCGGGGCGGCCACAAAGATGCCGCCCATATCCACGCCCTCATGGTGGAGGTAATCACCTTTAACTATACATTCATTCCCCCTAAATCCCTGTCCAACCACTTGGGCTGCGCGGTAGAGCTACGGTCTCGCTTCATGCAGGTCGGCGTTCAATCCCCGACCATCCAGGTGGTTGAACACCATTCCTTCCCTCCCCCCCCCGTCCCATCCCAGATCGTTATCCTGACCCCTTCCAAGTGCTATATAGTCATCATGACTTGGCGCTTTACCCTAATAGTTCCCTTCCCCCATAAGTCCCTGTCTCTTCTGTGTTGTGCTGTATGTATATATATATATATATATATATATATATATATATATATATATATATATATATATATATATATATATATATATATATATATATAATATTTATATGAATGAAAATACCTTCAAAAAGAGTGATACCTAACCCATGTTGTGGGACCCTCAGTACCTGGAGTGGGCGGGGATGGAGAAGGTATGCCATGTGCTGAGGTCAGAGTGCCACGCTCGAGGGCTGCCAGTCACCAGAGAGCCAGCAGACAGCAGAAGCAGCAGCAGAGCCAGTAGGGTCGACACGGCCGACCTTGAGGCAGCAGGCGACCTGGAAGAACTACTCGACTGCTTCGACAGCGGCCAGGGCGCCAAGTTCTTCCAGGTGAGGCGGGCAGCTGATGGCCATGGCTGAGTTATGTTTTAATGGCTTATCAAGTTGAGGGGTTTAATGTGTTGTCAAACAGCTGTGTGTTCAGTGTTTCAAGTAATCCTGAGAACTCTTTTGATTAAATTTGTGCAACACAATTCTCTATATTGTCATTATGATGGTGAATATTATATTGCTGTGCATTACTCGCTTAGCATTTATATATATATTGTGTGTGATTTCCCCTATATGGTATTCTGATTGGTTTAAGTCCTAACAACCTCTTGAGGGTTATTAAGGCCACAACAGCAGCTTTCTGACCAACCAGCTTGTATACTACAGTTCAGAACATAGTCCAGGACTAAAGTAAACCTCTCAGTGTATACACCGAGGAGTGTGGTATACCTCTGAGGGGAGTGTGAGGAGGGGGGGGGGGTTAAGTAGCTCTCACAAGCAGTTGCAGCGTGACTGCCGGAGCTTCAATACCGTCCAGCTGGAGTGAGCTGCAGGTGGTGATGCCTTTAGACCAATAATTAGAGAACCTGGTAAGTCGGTGGGAGGGTGAGTTGTTGAGCATTAAAATAGAGGCAAACATGTCTGTCTCAACTTAGGGACTGTGCAAAGTAATTAACTCTGACACGCACACACACAAACATGCACCACTGTGAGGGGTGGCGTGAGGGTGAAGAGAGGGAAGGGTGGACCAGGGAGGGAGGGTGACGGTGGACCAGGGAGAGAGGGTGACGGTGGACCAGGGAGAGAGGGTGACGGTGGACCAGGGAGGGAGGGTGACGGTGGACCAGGGAGGGAGGGAGGGTGTGGTGGTAAATATCTTCCACTGCAGGACAGTAACGGCTACTGCGTGAGGGAGTTGGAAAAAGTCAGTTACAAGGCACACCTTCCTCACTTCTAGCAGGAGGGGAGAGGCAGAGACGGGAAATGTTGGGCTATAAGTGTGTGTGTGTGTGTACGTACTTACATACAGACACAAAACAAATGTAAGTGCTTGGCAAAAGTTAGTATACCTATAATCAAATTTTCTTGGAAATATTACAATATTCAGCATGTATTTGCGTCGTTGAGTTCACGAGTATTGGGCTCTGAAACCCTTTATCCACCAATCGTGTGTCGTGTGTGTGTGGCCGTGTCCAACACTCTCTGGCTCACCTACTTCCCCTCTTCGTCTCTATACAGAGTCAACCTGTCAAATATTAGGGGGACTCCCGGTTTGCCTCCTGCCTTCTCATTCGGGGGGCAGTGGCGGGCGTCGTTCCCCAGAGCAGGCCAATGCGCATCGTTGAGCCTGCTCAACATCTATTGAGCCATTGACATCATTGAGCCTGCTATTGACATCCCGCCACGTAAACACTGCCGCACACAGTCTCTCACGTAGGCGGAATCAGAAGCGGAGTAAAGCGCTGCTTAGTTGTATGTTGTTGTTGTTGTTAAGATTCAGCTACTGGGAACTAAAAGTTCCAAGTAGCACGGGCTATGGTGAGCCCGTGATGGACTTGCCTGGCACAGGAACGGGGCTGAAACTTTGCTTAGTAGAGGCTTTATGCACTATACTTAACTTACCCATGCATCTTCCTCAGTGTATCATATGGAAGTACCCTTGTATAAATAAAATATTTTTGTTATTATTATTTGTTATTATTATTATAAAGCGGTAAGTCAGTATGACTATAAAATACTTAGGAAGGACTATGAGGGCACGCTAAGAGCTGGGGTATGAGGAGGGAGTGAAGGGACGGTGCCCAACCACTTGCACCATCGGGAATCGAATGACGTCGCTATAGACAACGAAAGAGTTAAGAGGCCATTCACTCGGGTTCCTTGGTAGGAAGGTTCTTGACGATAGGGACATGTGAATCACTGCATGATTCTTCACCTCTTCATGCACTGATTCACATGTAAACAAGAGGAAACGTGTGTGTGTGTGTGTGTGTGTGTGTGTGTGTGTGTGTGTGTGTGTGTGTGTGTGTGTGTGTGTGTGTGTGTGTGTGTGTGTGTGTGTGTGTGTGTTTCGGAAGGATGATATCCGCTGATTAATGGTTTGGAGGGGTACACATTGTGAATGATGGGGGTGTTGGTGCAGGCGTGGCGGGCGGCGCGGGAGAGGAGCCACTCGCCGGCCTCCCTGGAGGTGCTCACCCTCGAGTTCTACTTCCACGTGTACTTCGCCACCCTTCCCCTCCGCCACGGACACAAGGAGGTGAGGCCTCTTCCTCCTCTTTCCGCTTTGTCTCATTCTCTTTCTGTGTTCTGTCTTTTCTGTTTCTCCTCTTCCATTCAAGAATAATTTTTAGTATCTTAGTGGAAGGAATGGATTACTGATATCTCTATTTGAAATAATAATATTAAGCAGCTATTGCCTTTTGAAATTGTGTATAAATGTAATAATTGTACGATAACACTTTGGTTATATCATCATATATAGAAGGACGGCTTGTCCTTCTTCTCCCTCAGGACCACCTGGCGGCCATGGCAGTGTTCCGGAGGTTCCTGGAGACGTGTCCACCGCGAGTGGGCACCGTACAGGACCTGCTGCCCTTCTACGCCCTCCCGTACGTCCCCGACCCCACCCTCCACCCCGCCTTCAGGCCAGTCTTCCAGGTATTTCTCTCGGAACACACCCTCTTCCTTCACCCCAGTCCTGCAGGTAATTACCTAAGTGTAGTTACAGGATGAGAGCTACGCTCGTGGCGTCCCGTCTTCCCAGCACTCTTTGTCATATAACGCTTTGAAACTACTGACGGTCTTGGCCTCCACCACCTTCTCACCCAACTTGTTCCTAACATGAAGGTGCAGTCCTTCAGGAGAGGCCGGGCTCCATCCTTTCTTCACCTCAACCTCTGAGGTACTGGACCTCGTATCCACCTTACCAGGCCACATAATGTGAAGGTTTTTGATTGAAAACTTAGAATTCAATTGTTGTATCAAGCTTTGAGGTTCTACTGCCGGTGTTTCCTTTACAACGTCGAGTGTGTTCATAAGCTTAAATTACCGCCGTGCCTTACATCGGTAGGAATGATTACATGGGAGCTGTGATTATCTTTGTCACAACACACCATAATATTATTCCGTTGGAATAAACTGAGAAATTTACGTTTTTAATTATTATTTTGAGGAGTGTGTACGGTATAAAGGGCTACTCCGAGAGAGAGACGCCACAACGTTAGGTCAGTACTACACAGGCGGCCCCTCCGACCACCTGCTGTCATGCCCGACTGAAAGATGTTACTATTTGATTGATTTGATTAATATTTGATTGATTTTGATTTCCAGACATCTCATGGCAACAACGCGTGTTATGATAACTTTTAATTGTATAATTTTTTCGTTTAAATGCGAACAAATCTGTTGATATAGGTTTAGTTTAAAAATGTTTGAGTTCTTCCCAGTTATTTGATTTGATTATAATCGTATTACCATATAGCGGTTTGACGGTTTCCACCTACTGGTGGAAACCGCTGGCATCATACAAGTGTGTATGATCCACCTGACTGTGATGGGTGTGTGCAGGATCCGTGGGTCCACGAGCTGCGGGGGCGCCTCTGTGGGTTCCTGGGGCGCCGGCCCACAACCTCTCCCCGCCCCGCCATCTTCTCCTACCTCCACCGCCACCACCACCACGCCTCCAGGTACGGCGCTCTGCCTCCACACACCTCGCACCCACAGCTAGGTTATACCACCAGGCCTCCATATGCTTCCACCACCTCTACCACCACCACCACCATCACCACCACCACCACCACCACCACCAGCCAGGGTAGGGCCCTCTCATCTTAGCTGTGTCGAACCATCGCCTATTAACACCATTCTCCAGCGCTTATTCCACTCAGTACCATTACCATCTGTTCCTGGGCAACAGTCTGGAGCTCACAGGCAACTGTTCCAGTCGTCACTAATCCCACACACTAGAAACAGGACATTGGGGCAGCAGTATTTAGGTCCACCCGCCGCACTGTTCATTCATGGTTTTAGTGTTAAGGAGCCGCCCTCCCTCCATGTGTTCAACTCTCAGTTTGGTTGGTGTGACTTGTTATATAGATGTGTTATAATATTGATGGCGTGGGGATGTAAGGCATCAAGATGATGTGAGTCCTTTCACTCCGCAGCGTCGGGGCGGCGTTGGTGGCGCAGGAGTCTGCGGCCTCGGCAGTTAGGTCGCAGCGTGTTCTCCGTCGCCGGCTCCAGAGACTGCAGGAAGATTACCACAAGCTTATAGGTAGGTGGTTGGTGAGGGGTCGTGGTGATTGGAAACATCATACAAGCGTGTGGAAAGAAAAAATACGGTTGTATTAATCATACAAGTGTAGGATAGAAGGTAACCTACAGGTGTCTTGGTACAGGAGTGTCATGGGAGCTGACGCAGGCGCTGGAGGCGGCAGTGAGAGGGGAGAGAGTGGACCTGGAGGGGACGCTGGCAGCCTGCACCCACCGCTACCCCGAGCTCTTCACACTGACCCTGACAGCAGACACGACGGTACGTACACCAGCCACACTCCTCGTCACGCACGCTCACCAGGCGTCATATGTACACTCTTGACCACCCTAACTTATTTCAAGATTGATTGATAAAGATTAAGTCACCCAAGAGGTGGCACGGGCATGAATAGCCCGTAACCTTATTTCAAGTTACATTGCCGCTCTAATGATCACGAGAGACATCTCCCATCACGCAGGGTGCAGTCGCACCTCCACAGATCTCCAGTATCAGCTCTTGATACTGGTAATGGCTCAAAAGGGGCACCACTTACGGGCTATTCATGCCCGTGCCACCTTTTGGGTGGCTTAATCTTCATCAATCAATCAATCTCTAATGATGCATCCTATTAGGTGAGTAGAGGCGAGGTGAGTGTGAGATGAGGTGAGGTTATGTGATGTGAGGAAAGGCCCACACGATGCAATATGATGAAAGGTGAAGCACTTTGAGGCCAGGCGTACCATAAATCCTTATTTATATTTCACTCGTTTATCATTTATCACATTACGGGCTATTCGTGACCGTGCCACCTCCTGGGTAGTGTAATCTTCATCAATCAATCAATCATTTCTGGGTTTAGAGAGCACTCCCGGTAGACCAGTCTGGTGGTGGATGTACGCCCACCCCGGTAACTGTATAGTTAACAGATTTTGTTTATATATTATATCAGAAGTTTTGTTTTACTTCTTAAATTATTCAATTAGTTGTGTATTTGTCGATGTGATCACTAACGTGAGTGTTAGCAGAGGTAATGGACAATTATAAACACCAGAAGTAAACCCAAAACTTAATTTATTTATATTAAAGGCGTTTTTCCCCCTGCCTGCACTACCACCAGGCGGGGCCAGCGACCATTCTGCTGGAGTCGATGCAGCGGTGTCGTCGCCGCCCGGGGGTTTCGGCGCCCGTCCCTGCCCTCGACTTCGAGCGTGTGCGGGCCGACCTTGGTGGTGCCCCGGAGACCCATGTTCTGCTCTTGCTGCAGGCGCTCAGACATGTGAGTTGTGGCGGTGTGGGTCTTCCAGGTGCCTGCAGGCGCGCAGACATGTGAGTTGTGGGTGTGTGGGTCTTCCAGGTGCCTGCAGGCGCTCAGACATGTGAGTTGTGGCAGTGTGGGTCTTCCAGGTGCCTGCAGGCGCTCAGACATGTGAGTTGTGGGTCTTCCAGGTGCCTGCAAGCGCTCAGACATGTGAGTTGTGGCGGTGTGGGTCTTCCAGGTGCCTGCAGGCGCTCAGACATGTGAGTTGTGGGTCTTCCAGGTGCCTGCAAGCGCTCAGACATGTGAGTTGTGGGGGTGTGGGTCTTCCAGGTGCCTGCACACGTACCTTGGTCTGCTCTCATATATCCCAAGAGAGTATTCCAGTTCTTTATGGGAGTATTGGAGGTCAAAGCAAATTCCCCCGGGCGATCATGTACAAAGGAACGATGGTTGGAGGTAAATACGTATTCTTCGTAGAATCCGGAGCTACGTATTAGACTAATTTTCCTGCATGTAGCTAGTGTGGGGCGGGTGTGAGAAAGGAATAGTGGCACGAATTAGTTTTCTCAGAATTGTCTGATTATATGCTACTTCCAGTAGGAGCCTCCTTGTGTAGCTCTACTCTCTTGAAAGCGATATAACATTTATTATTGATAAAAAAAACACATTGATGTGTTTGTATGTGTTTTGTAAAGATTTGAAGTACACGAAGTCTTTCACAATCTCTTGAGTACATTATCAAGATCTGAGTATATGGTTTGGACGAGACTGAGATGTAAGTCTCGTTCAACCCATGACATACTCAGACCTTGATCATGGAGAGTGTGAAAGACTTAGTGTGATTCAAGTCTTTACATAACATACACAAACATAAGTGTGGATTTTTTTATCCTCTTGTTATTATGTCTGTGACAAGACATTAACATTACTTAATCACTTACATCACTTTGGTTGTTGCAAGTTGGAACTAAACCTATTTCTGTACAGTAATCTACAATTACCTACGCCTACCCATGCAAGATTTAGCTGGCATTTCTGTCCGATTCGTGCATCACAAAAAGGAATTAATTTGCAAGAGTTTAACCGGTAAGTGAGGACGATGTTGCTTGGGTTGGTGGTGACCAGGACCTCCCTGCTGACGAGACTTGTGTTGCAGAGGGTGACGAAGGTGACGACGGGCAGCGTACGTCAGGCAGTCGTCACGGCCTACGTGCGGGGCGACGTGCTGGGCCTCCGGGGGGCGTGCAGGTCTTGGACGCGGCTGGCCACCGCACTCACCACTCCTGAGTCACAGTTCCTGCCTCAGGCGGCCGCCAGACTCATCAACGCCCTCACCGCCTTCAACGCCGGCAGGACCTACCTCGCCAGGTACCGCCCGCCCCTCACCGTAATTTAAAGCTAGATTTTACACAAAAAGTCTAGTTTGCTTTGGCATTGCTTAATATAAATTAGACATCCACCCGATTATTGGTTGAAGGATTAAGCGGGGAGATGTACCGATGGGTCAACAGGTGGGATTGATTGTTCTTCCTTTATACTGTTCTTGATGTATTAGAAGAAGTTGTATTCCCGGGTAAACTCTGTAAGTTTACCGGGAAGTTGCGGTACACAATGACACAATTTGTGGTGTTCTGACACTTTTTTAAATGTAATATTTTGTATGGGATTTCCACTTTACCAGGTTGAAGTGTTTTGTTAATAAGTGTCAAGTATATTCCAGTGTCTGTTAAAATAGTCAGTTGAAGATCTATATTATAGTTGAAATGGAGCCTTTTGCCCAAACCCTTTACCTAAATCTTTTACCTTTCGGCGCCGTGGAGAGGGGGGGAGGGGACCTACTGCATGGGTAACAGCATCTCCCCCATATCAAAGCCTGGTGCGCCCTGGAGAGGCCACTCCAGACTGACAACCAGAGCGCAGCTCCATAGTCTCCTATGACTGATGGATGCCTACTACTACTACCTAAACTCAAAAGATACATCATTTACCTGTTCTGTGAGTGATGTGCTCATCTTGAGAACATTGAGCATATATTACATACCTCAAGAAGACAAACCAAACTTTAGTGAGATTACCAATACCTCCGTTAGTGAGTAGCATCAGTATAGAGAAGAATGAGATTGGTCATGTGTTCGATAATACGAACACATCTCTAGTACGGCACAAGTAAAATGTTTATTAAAAATAAATGTTTATTCAGGTAAAGTACATACATACAAGAGGTTATACAAAAATTGATAGATTTATAGATAGAGCTAGTACATACAATGCCTAAAGCCACTATTACGCAAAGCGTTTCGGGCAGATTATCAAGTGTGTAGATTACAGACTAGTTGGTTGCCCGGGACCAAAGAGCTAAAGCTCAACCCCCGCAAGCACAGCTTGGTGAGTACAACTAAGCGTAGTGCTTGATCAAATGCATTTTCAGGTAAGTTTTATAGTTTTGTGACATAAATTTAAAAATATGTGATGCTTAATATTATAGGATTATTCGCTCGTCTCTTCTTTAGGGTTTTAAGTTTTTATAAGATCATCAATGCAATGATTGCAAAATCAATTAAAGAATTACAAGTTGTAACTTTGATAATTTATTTAACATTTTCCATGATAAATGATTTTTTATGAAATAGAACGTAAGGTCACGGGGCATTATGTTGGCAGTATAGTCAGTTTGCACAGAGGAATCTCGCTAATAACTCTCTCGGGAACTCTATATTATTAAGAATTTACTACCACAAAGATGACTTGTTTCAGCTACTTCAGTATTGTAGATGATTTTATGATTTGTGTAAAAGATGTTTGTATAAAGGTTAATTTCTATACAATGTAAGTTTCATTGTAAACTTGACAGTGTAAATTAGTGGTACTAATGTTAGTGGAAAGTATAATTTAAAATTATATTTTTTTACGCATAGAATGCTTATTTATGCAGAAACTGTGCATAGTTATTATCGCTGCGCACGTTAAACATATACAGGTTAACTTAATTTTGCTTTGTCTTGATATCTTGTAATTCAAATGTATTTGTGACATGCATGGTGGTGCGTGGTGGTGCGTGGCGGTGCGTGGTGGTGGTGCGTGTATGGTACGTGCCGTGTTGGATGGTTGGGGGGGCCGTCAGCGAGGAGGTGTGCCAGGTACTCCTGCAGGCGCTGCACGCCGACCACCCACACTCGGCCGCCACCGATATGGTCCTGGCCGCCCTCCAGAAGCTCTCTATAAGGTACCTGCCTCTCTTTTTGTGTGTTATTTTTGTAACCTGTTATTAGCAGGCCTTATAGTTTTTTTTTGCCTGCCATTGCTCATCGTAAGCTTTATCCTCCTGGTGTTCCCTGAGATGCTCTCTGTAAGGTGACATCCTCCACGCATGCCCAATGTTTTCCTTGTCGACCCACTCCATGTCGGGCCTATAGTCAACCTCAGCTGAGTTCCTGGTCCCCCATAGGTACGCCTCTCTTGCAATATCTGTAACTTTTCCAATTTCGAAAATATTTTAATATGATGTGCAAGAGACACATCATATTTTTTTGACGAACATTTTCGTTAGCAATGACTATTATTCCCTGTTATTTCTTCTATCTTAATTGCTGTTCCTTTCAGCAACTACATCTCGTGTAGTTACTTATATACAAATGACACCAGTTTCCATAACCTGTCTCCGTTCTGCCCAAGTTTATACTGGCGTAGAAGATCATACTGAAATATGTTCTCACACTTTTTCTTATAAATGACACCGGGCTCAATGTTTGGCGTCAGCATGTTAAAACTGGGTTCCCGGATAAGTAGTGAATAACTTCCTAGTGTGGAGAGTATATTGCTCCATCAAACTGGCCTCGTAACTGTGTTACTGCTTCAATAGATCACCGTCAGTAACTTGAAATTCATCTTATTATTTGTTCTGTACTGTACTTGTAAGGACAGACATGACTACATTGTCACATTACCATCAACGCGACAACACTTCTTTAGTTTATTTGTCTATATAACATATATACGATAAAAAGTTTAAATAATTGGAACTGGAGATCAATAGCCTGATAAGAGGTATACGCGGTGCGTGTTACGGTACAAATTCCCACCACGGGCAGTAATGTTCCCCCGCATCTGAGCAACGTTATCTTGTGGTGTCGGCTCAGGGGCGTGGTGCAGGAGGCGTTGATCGAGGGCGGGGCGGTGGAGTGGCTGGTGAACACCCTGGCCGACCTCCGCGCCCTCACGCCCTACACGCAGGAGTACGCTGCTGCCCTCTTCATGAACCTGACTCTGCGCTCCTCCGGCCGCGCCCGCTGCCAGCCTCTGGGTGCCACCCTCCTCCCGGCACTCATACAGCTTCTCACTTCAGTGCAAAGCCACGTAAGCCATCGCCATTCAGTACATATTTTACACTGTCGAAAAATGTTAATTACGGTTTTGTTGTGATTACTCTTTAACGGTATGATTGAATGTTAAAAGTATATATGTGTTATTAGTGGGTGTCTGGACGCAGGTGGTGCCGTATGTGACGGGGGCGCTCTACAGCCTCCTCTCACACTCTGGTCTCCGTCAGGAAGCCTTCGACATGGGGCTGGACTCCACACTTGAGCGCCTGGCGCAGGTATACTTTCTTCTCGACGATATACTCGGAACTCTGGCTTACAACAATATAACGTCCCTGCTTAGACCGACTTAAGATTTTATTCCTAAGTTCCTGTCATTATATTGAGATCATATAAGTACAATATTTTTCATATATATATATATATATTTTGTTATAATTACCGCATAGTATGTCATAAGTTGTCAGTTAGTTTCGCATATTATATATATAATATATTGTTTGGGAACACTTGGTATGTTGGGTGGAGCAGGGCGGCAGCACGGAACAACGGCGACAACTGGAGTATGTTGTAGAGCAGATCCGTCGTGACCCTCCACTCTCACCACCACCCTCGCCCGACCCCGTCCTCGACATGGAGGTCAGTCTCCACCACTACACTCCACCTACCACACTCATCATCACTCGCTACGCCTCCACTCTTACACGTGATTCAAGCGTCTTAATATTTTATTCTTTGGAACCTAGCATGGTGTCACCCAGTCCCTCTGCCCCACTCCTTGCACTCATTTTAATATAGTACTCATAACATCACTCTCCTCAAAAGGGGCGCTGTTATATATTTTTTCAAATTTATTCAGAAAACTCATTCTGTCCGAATATTGATTTATTTGTAAATATTAAAGCTATTAAATTTCGTAAAGGCACGTTTCATGAGAAATTATTTTTTTTTTTACTTGGATATTAATTGGCCAATACTAGTCCTGCAGCGTAGGACTGGCCACCCATATCGCAGCCCATTGTTTATTAGATATATTGAGATTCTGTCAAAGTTTGATACTGCTTTTATGTGAAAGGACTACCATCATTAACACTAGAAGCATTGAAATATCTCATCATTTAAAAAGGACGCTCTAAATTTAAGACGGAGGCAGGGACGGTTGCGTCACACACAACACAAGGTCTTATAGCGTACACAAGGTTCACTATCCCCTCTATCATTTCATACTGGTGTTATAGTATCTTCATAATAAAATGCTCTTACTGAAAACCGAATCAACCCTTCATAAAATATTCCCGGTGAGTGTATTATCACCGGGAGTGCATTCAGCTATACTCTTAAGGTGAAAAATACGACTGGTTGTTAAATCCTTGACATTTTTTAGTACCGCCATAACCTTCAACTCCTCTTGGAGTTCGAGTATACTCCCACATATGACATTACCATACCCATGTGACATCACCACCCACGTGTGACATCAAGCCGCCCCCTACGAGACATCAGCAGCCTGGCGTGCATGAGTATACTACTACTACCTCTGCAGGAGGACCCGGAGTGGCTGGAGGAGGAGCTGGACGTGGACGACCCGGTGCGAGCCCCACCCCACGCCCCCGCCGGCGAGGACCTGCTGGCCTGGCGCTACACCCTACACCCGGGTAACCCGCCTCCCACTCCTACACTCGCTCTCACCTGGCATACACTAGCTCTAAGGTGATGCGTTGATATTTTACAGTTTGACACCTGCCAGAAGCATGTATCTAACGTGAGTCTGTCCACAGGCGAGGCTGAGGACGCTGAACATAGACGAGACATGGCGCCTGCAAGGTACAATTATTATTATTATTATTATTATTATTATTATTATTATTATTATTATTATTATTATTATCAAAACATGCCTGCTGAAATGATAACTTATAGTTTCACTTTGTATATAATTTTGCAGCCACTTATCTAGAAGTTATTTTCAAACCGACTCGTTAATAACTTTATATATATATATATATATATATATATATATATATATATATATATATATATATATATATATATATATATATATATATATATATATATATATATATATATATATATATATATATATATATATATATATATATATATATATATATATACTTGGACAGATATTACACGCTGCTCGCCATAAAAACACTTAATCCAGAGAAATCACAAAATTAGTCACTCTATCTCAAGAGTTATCAGCATATGTATAACATTGAATATATTCACTTAATGACTGAGTCAATTATACATTTTTGGTTATTAATGTGATCTGGAGTTATTGACTAGCCTGGCGTTCCTTCCAAAAATGAACTACAAATTATTTCCTGTTCACTCGATTACTACACCTGGAGTTCACCTTGTTCTACAATGACCAAGTGATCAAAGTGGATCACTATTTTCATCCTTTGAGCACCAGATTCTTTATAGCTCAAATATGGTACCTTAATTGATCTCACAGATGTTAACAACTACAGACCTATATCAATCCTGCCAAACTTGTCAAAAATTTTTGAAAAACTAATCTATAAGCAGCTTTACTCATATCTAGCCAAACTCAATATACTTACCCCTTGCCAATATGGCTTCAGGCCCAAAAAAAGCACTAACGATGCACTTATTAGTATGCTTAACTCGATTCATACAGCTCTTGATCAAAATGAGTTCCCTGTTGGGTTATTTGTGGACCTGCGTAAAGCTTTCGATACTGTCAACCACCAAAACCTTCTTCTTAAATTACATCATTATGGTGTCAGAGGACACTCCCTACAATACCTCAAATCCTACCTTACTGACAGGCTCCAATGTGTTTCTGTGAATAATACAATTTCTCCCACACTACCCATCAACATTGGTGTTCCCCAGGGCAGCATACTTGGCCCTCTCCTCTTTCTCATCTACATTAATGACCTTCCAAATGCCTCCCAACACCTCAAACCAATTCTATTTGCTGATGACACAACCTTCATTTACTCCAGTCCTGATCCCCTTCATCTAAATGCCACAGTAAATACTGAGCTTAATAAAGTCCATCTGTGGCTAACTGCCAACAAACTCACCCTTAACATTGACAAAACTTTCTATATTCTGTTTGGCAATAAATCCTCTAATCAAATAAATCTCAAAATAAACAATACCCAAATTTGTAACAAATTAGATGGCAAATTCCTTGGCATTCTCATTGACCACAAGCTGAATTTCCAGGGACACATTCTAAACATATCAAAAAAAGTTTCAAAAACTGTGGGCATTCTTTCTAAGATCAGATATTATGTACCACGCCCTGCCCTGGTGACTCTCTATTACTCCCTTATCTATCCATATCTCAACTATGGCATTTGTGCTTGGGGCTCTACTACCCAAAATCACTTACGTCCTCTAATTACTCAACACAAAGCTGCTATTAGGACAATATCCAATTCTGGCCCCAGACATCACTCGGTACCCCTACTCAAATCTCTGAATATGTTAGACATTAAGTCACTGCACATTCTCTCATGTGTATTATACATATATAAAACGCTAAACTATAATGCCAATCCTGATCTCAAAAGCTTCATAGAAGGTTGTAACAGAACCCATGAGCACCACACCAGAAATAAATACAGTTTTGATATTCCTAGAGTACGACTAAATCAAACCAGAAATGCTCTACAAATCAAGGGGCCCAGAATGTGGAATGACCTTCCCAACCATGTTAAAGACTGTACCTCTCTCAACCAGTTTAAGTTAAAAACGAAGCTATACCTAATAAATTCCATGTAACCCACCTTACCCCCCTGTTGTCAACCCATGTATATTTTTTGTTTTTTTGTTTTTCAAATCAACGCTGTTTGAATGTAATTTTCTGTAATAATTTGTAATTGTATTTGTGCTGCTTTTTCAACAATGTTCCCCCCTCTTTTACCTCTATTTTTTATATGTACTCATCACATCTTTTCTTTTTACCCATTAGTTTTAAGCTTTAGTCATTAATGTTTTTCCTGCCCGAAACGGTTTGCGTAATAGTGGCTTTAGGCATTGTATGTACTAGCTCTATCTATAAAGCCAACAAACTTTGTAAAATCTCTTTATGTATGTACCTTACCTAAATAAAAATTATTATTATTATTATTATTATATTATTATTATAATTAACACTAGTAAAAAAAGTAAATGAAAACTGGTAGTCTATGTCCTTAGAGTTGTATGGACTTGCCGAAGTGTCCTCATCTTATTGAGTCATTATCAAGAGTTTAATAATTTAATTTTTTTATTAATTTCTGGTATACAGACTCAGTGAGGCGAGGACACTTCTGCAAGTGCATATAACTCTAGGGACATAGACTACCAGGTTTAATTTACTTGTTTACTAGTAACAAACACGCGATCAGGTGATTGTTAGCCGCACCCTCTTCACTGTACGCGCTGCCACCCCGCGACTGTGATCTGCAGGGGACGAGTTTATCCTGTACCGTCCGTCAGGTCGTGGTGCAGCAGCCCTGTCTTCCCTGTCAGGGACTAGAGTTCCCTAGCGTGTGTGGATGAGGAAGAGCCTCATCCACACGTGAAATTGTTTCAGGATCAGCGGCCGCCCTGTTATTATAACTGTTCCCCTGGTCTGAATTGACGGCGAATGTTTTCCCTGAGCAAATATTCCCTGGTACTTCCGTCCTGTTCTACAATCTCCACTAAAGTGATGCGCTTCTGCCACCTCCGTTAATGAAAGGCTGCCTTGCTTTGCCAAAAGGGGGGTGCCCACACTTACCAGTATTCAAATTCAAATGTTTATTCAGGTAAAGTACATACATACAAGGGGTGATACAAATATTGCTGAATTTATAGATAGAGCTAGTACATACAATGCCTAAAACCACTATTACGCAATGCGTTTCGGGCAATATGGAGTTCTGTCATTGTTACCTTCCACCCATCAGTCTCTGAGTGGCTGGCTATTACGGGCTAAACGAAGTAAGAAACAAAGCGGGTATTACTTCGTAATACTGTACCCGCTTTTGTGGTCCATAACAAGTTTGAGTTACAGCATTCCGACAGCCCGTGTTGATAGTATGATGCTGTTGCAACTTGAGTCTGATGAGGATGGGGGGCGGGGAGCCATCACTCATCAGGTGATGGCAGGTGCGAGCGACGGAGAGGCACGGGCCAGCTACACTAGCATGCCAGCCCGTCCTCTCCACTCTTCACAACCTCACTAAACTTATGTACTAAATTGTCCCAACCTATGCTAGCCGAGGACCCATGAATAAACAACGGGGAACGTCTATTTTGAGAGCTACTTTGCTTTTTAGTTCAGGTTTTGCCCATGGGGGGGGGAGAATTATAGGTCAAAATGCGATTCTAGAGGAGGATCAGCGCACTGACCAGCCTCACGGGACTCTAAGTCGTAGCCTACAATTGTACACACTACGTAGTACTACAATTATATAATTGCTAGTAATCACAGCGATTGTGTCGTGATTGTAACTAACAATAAACTTTGACATTTATAATAATAACACCAGCATTAACATCAGTAGCAGGTGACCTTTCACTATCGCGATGAATACAATTGTATGCTTATTTCTCTGTCCAGGTCCGCGCCAGTGGTGCCCTGGGACCCTCGACCCTACAACCCTAATCCCAGACCAAACTCCGACGGCTTCGTCACCCAGGTACAGTGCCTCACAGCTTCGTCACCCAGGTACAGTGCCTCACAGGCTTGTCACCTAGGAAGTCAAGGGTGACTTCCCTTGCTGCTCTCGTGTAGGCATATCTTGAAAGATATTTAAATAATTTAAGTTGTCCATTGAAATATTATATAATAATTCCTGCTTGCCGCCTTCTCTTAATAATTACTTACATCGTGGTGTCAATATCAGCTGCAGCATAGAGTGCCACAGCAGGAGCAGACTCATCAGCAGGCGCAGCACCTGCAGGCAGCAGGAGGGCAGTGGGACTACCCTTCTGACACCGACGCGGGACGAGGTGCTATGTACACTTCCCGTTCCAAGTGAGTACCACCGCGCATGTCCCCGCGCGCATAGTTATAATAGCGTGTTCATTTATTTTCAAACAACTTCTAATAAGTTATGTATATGACTGTACACATGAACAGAAATATAATCACACACACAAAAAAATGATGTTGACAGTTCTCAGTAAACAGTTTTACGAGCAGGTCATTGGAGGTGGAAAGTGGGACTGGTGGTGGATGTGAAACAGGAGACGATGGAGGAGAAGGAAGTTACCGTGAAGAGCGGCATGGCAGTAGGGAGGGAGAGTGGTCCCTGCCGCTACGAGGCCTCAGGTCACCGCCACCCACACGTCGCCACGACCCACAAAGGACCCATGACCCACAAGGGCGCCAGGACCCAGATGGGCATCAGTTTGTTCCACCCGTGGCTCGAGAACAGGGGCATGCTTCAGGTGGGTGTTCTGACTCCTCTTGAGGAAACAGATGGAAACTCATTGTGGATGGCGTTTCACTCCCACGTTATGCACAATTACATAGCTCCAAATTCTCACAATACATTCTTTTTCGCAATGATGTTTGCGTTCATTTAGAAGGAAGATTCCTGTTGCAATTGTACAATTGTAGTTATTTATTCTGCAACCCCATACGTGTCCTATGAGCAGTGGTGAAAAGTGAGTCACACACACAGCCCGAGATCTGAGGCTCAATGTTCATTTATATTAAGGAACTCATTTTAGTTTTCAAAGAACATTGTTAGACAACTAAAAGGTAATACATATTTTACGTGTACTCTCAAGTAGGTTGAGGTACAAGACGAGCAGCTTATAAGATGGACAGACCTCACACCCCCTAGAGCAGATGATGCACAAAATCTGGCCACCAGTTATTTTTGGTTAATGCTAATAACGTAATTGATTATCAATTATTATTGAACATGGAATAGGAGTGCATGTTTAACGTAAAAGAACTTTTTTAGAGAGAGTAAATATTTCATGTGTTGCATGAAGCATATTATTACAACATTATACTTATAGTAGAAGGGAGAACGGGAACTGCACGTAAAGACACATTGTAGTAACACATAAAGATACGCCGCAGCTCAGTGTTGTGTGAAGTAAATATTGTAAGAGTCCTCATTAAGCTAATGAAAGACGGTTTCTTCTGGTTCTATTTAACTCAGGCTCATGAGGCCGTCTTCAATGCGTAGCTGCTAATAGTGTGAATGTATAGGATGTTGTGTTATGTTACAGAAGGAGAGGAGGAGGAGGAGGACGCCGGTGGTGCGTCGCCGCCACTGACGTCTCCAGGTGGTGGTCATACCTCCAGGCCCATCACCACCACCTGCCCCGCTGAAGACCTCGTCCCGTACTTCACCCGACATCCCCATGTCCACGATGATCACCATCAAGTATACTTTGTCTTATCCAGCTTAAAATAATTAATGATTGTGTCTCTAGATATATATAATACGTAACTTAGTAGCCTCCGTAACTTAGCAGTCTCCGTGGTGTAGTGGTAAGACACTCGCCTGGCGTTCCGCGAGCGCTATGTCATGGGTTCGTATCCTGGCCGGGGAGGATTTACTGGGCGCAATTCCTTAACTGTAGCCTCTGTTTAACGCAACAGTAAAATGTGTACTTGGATGAAAAAACGATTCTTCGCGGCAGGGGATCGCATTCCAGGGACCATAGGATTAAGGACTTGCCCGAAACGCTACGCGTACTAGTGGCTGTACAAGAATGTAACAACTCTTGTATATATCTCAAAAAAAAAAAAAAAAAAAAATAATAACAGCTGTTGTGGCAGAGTTTACAATGACTACTTCGGAACATGCGATACAATCACAAAACTAGCGCCGAGAAATAAATGCAAAATGGTATTGAAAACCTGAAAGATGTCTTGATGGCATTCTTACTTTAAAGAGCACGAATGTGTGAGCTGAGTGTAAAGTGAACAAGACTATCTTGGCTAGACAGACTGAAGCTAGACAGGCTGTCAGAGTTGACAGATTATCAGGCTAGTTCATTATTCAGACCACTGTATGTATATAAATATATCATCACACTTGTAAATGTACATATTAACTCATTTTCTCATTGTCTTATTAATTAATCTTGTCCAATACAGAATTCGTCGTCAGGAACATCAGAGATCACTCAGAAGCTGATCCTCCATCATGATGGTGAGGAGGACGTCACCCTCATGTCCGCCAGAACGCCTACAGCAGAACACCAACCCTCCACGCTGGGTAACTCGACTTTCAGACTTGGCGGGCCTGTGCATGACAAAATAGACGAGGAATCAGTAAATGTAGCGAGAGCCACAAATAGCTCACAAGTGAAATCCACAGATGTGAGAGAAGATCTCAAGGGAACACATACGGCTCAGGAAAGACCGGCTACAAACTCATCCGACCCAACTACAAATCTTGATTCAAGAACCTCGGAACCCGAACGACAAACGGAGGTGGAGGCACCACGAGGAGACACAAAAGGAGATCTTCCAAGAAGGGAGGAAATAAAAAAGAGAATCCATGAATCGGTCAGTTCCCCAGCGGCAGCAGCGGCAACAGCAGCAGCAGCACCGCAAAGAGCAGAAGCCAGAGGAGCAGGTATGTCTGGTCATATCGTAGCCACTCGCTTACTGTATTGTGGTCTCAGCTTCAGACACGGGTAATCGAGAATAATTTTTTGATCATTGGCCAAAATCATTTGCCAAAACATACGTTCCTATATACAGTGCCAGAGTATACATACATGTATATACATACATTAATCTGTGCTCGTTAATTTTTCTGCTGCTTTGCATGTTTAAGGATTTCTTAGTAAGGAAAGACCTTTGCATGCAGCCTGTCAGTACTGACGAAGTTAGTGATCTCGCGTAAACATGAACGAAATGTGTTCTTTAGAACGTTGATCTTTAACATGCCCGACTCCACGTAGTAGGAAAAGTGAAGATTTTCTGTATATTGCACCTCGTGCACGATACAAGGAAATGCATCTTGGACTTTATTACAGACATTCTTATTTTCTCACAACATTAAGTTAATCCGGCCCGGCCCATTTCTCAGACAACATATAACATACACGATATACGACACACGTGAACGACATACATATAGAAACTCATGAACGACATGTATATATGACACACGTGAAGGACATGCATATATGACACACGTGAAGGACTTGCAAATATGACACACATGAACGACATATACTCCAGCTTCTCAGTATACATATATACACGGAGAGTTTTCTGTATTCCTGTTCTATGTTCATGACTAAACTGAATTTGCCCGTTAGTCAGTAAGTTTATCTTTTAACCATTGTAACTCTTCCGCTGTTGATAGGCTTTAACCTCAAAACCATTCCGCATAAACTGAGGTTTTTGCTCTGCTTCGGGTATGTCTTTCACAGCCTATCCTGCCTACAGAACTCTACTCTATGACTAGAAAAATTGACATTCAAGAAGTAAGGTAGATTACATGGCGTTGATTAGGAAATACCTAGTTTTTCTCTTAGAGTTATTAGTGGTGAATGAGTGAGGTGACAATAGCTTTCAGCTCGTACAAATAAAGGTAGGTAGGTATACCAAGATAAATTACATTCGCAACGCAGCAGTGACCACAGACAACGAAATAGCTGTAGTGGCCCTAGGCTACTTCTGCCCAGGCTCATCATTGCTAGTCAACACTATAGTGCAGCTCTCAAAGAGAAATCATCGTGGTATTGATCTTTGATTCTGGTTGGGCTTAGATGAGGCTCTCAAACTTATTATACAATTTTTGTGATTATTATTATTATTATTATTTTTATTTGTTACGTGTCTTGGCATCTCGTTAAGAAAGGAGGGTGGAAGCGTGGGTCATAGCATATGGGTGATACTATATATGGTGGTTTTGAAGACAATGGACAATGATATATGCCGGAATTAAAAAAAAATACAAATTTACCAAGCGTGATTCAGACTGTCATTAATGCTAAAGTTACACATATCCGTTATATATATATATATATATATATATATATATATATATATATATATATATATATATATATATATATATATATATATATATATATATAATGAAGAAATGTCACAAGCATGTGATCTTAAAATGCCAGGAATATTTTGTGCATGTAAAGCAAGTTTGTGCTATGTTGTGTTTTAAATATTTTATTTTTGATTATACGACTTGCGAATGACACCAGCAGCTTACTTTCTGAAGACCATTATGACTTTTTCTCTAATATAGCTCGTACTACTACTACTACTACTACTACTGCATCCAGGTTAGGCTTGAAGAAGTCTAACGTGCGGAAAAGTAAGCACTCTTGACGCAAGTTATGAAACACCCCAGCATGTTCACGCTGTGCTGAGCTCACACTGCTCCAGCATGCTGGTGTTCACGCTGTTCTGAGCTCACACTGCTCCAGCATGCTGGTGTTCACGCTGTGCTGAGCTCACACTGCTCCAGCATGCTAGTGTTCACGCTGTGCTGAGCTTACACTGCTCTAGCATGTTTGTGTTCACGGTGTTCTGAGCTCACACTGCTCCAGCATGCTGGTGTTCACGGTGTTCTGAGCTCACACTGCTCCAGCATGCTGGTGTTCACGCTGTTCTGAGCTCACACTGCTCCAGCATGCTGGTGTTCACGGTGTTCTGAGCTCACACTGCTCCAGCATGCTGGTGTTCACGGTGTTCTGAGCTCACACTGCTCCAGCATGCTGGTGTTCACGCTGTGCTGAGCTCACACTGCTCCAGCATGCTAGTGTTCACGCTGTGCTGAGCTCACACTGCTCCAGCATGCTGGTGTTCACACTGCTCCAGCATGTTAGTGTTCACAGTGTGCTTCACTTACCCTGCACCAGACATAGTAGCCTCACACAGGCTTCAGCAAGTGTTTATCTCACTATCTGTCCTTATTTGCAGTGTTGCTAGTTTTTGTATCATTATGCTGCTATTTTAGGCAATGGATGAAAACGAGAATGTCTCGCATGCGCTTCTAATATTAATATTAAAACAAGAGCTCTGAAGCCTATTATATCTAGCGTATAAAGATCATACTTTCTAAATCCAGTAGGCATAATAAAATTATTCAGATGCCTATACTGGTCTGGTTTATAGGCTTTTCGTTCTTTAACGAATTTTTATATTCATGAGTAATTTAGATCTGGCGTTTCTAAGCAAAAATAAATAAACTTTGCTAATTAGAGTTATGCAAAGTTATGTTTTAAAAACTGTTCTAGTTGCCATTCGTTACCATTGTTCTAAATAGACTCTGGAATGTCATGGTTCTATTAAATAAGGTACTAGTATCATGATCTATTAAGCGAGATTTTAGTGAGTTATGAGCATAATAAGTGACATTCTAGTGAATAATAATCTTATTAGTGAGATCCTAGTGTCGTAAGCTTTTTAAATGAAATCCTATTATCGTGATCCTTTTAGTGAGATGTTAGTTGCCATAATCCTATTGAATGATATCATAGGGGTCATGATCCTATCAGCGAGATATAATTAATTTTTATCGTATTGAAATCAGGAAAGAAATGCGATACTCCGGTTTCCCTGCAGACAAAATATATATTCTCGCCAACCCTAACATATTTGTCGAAATATTAGTATAATCTGCCGTTTAGGACAACCCACCGAGCCTAAGGATAGTTTTGTACTTTTATTCTGGGTCTTAGCTTGGCTGGGAATTGATGTCATGTCTTGCGTTCATAAGGAAATTAACAAAAAAAATATTTTTCCTACCTATTTGCTTACCCTATTTTGTCAGCATGTACAGTAATAGATAACACACGTGTATTATATTTATTGGTCTTGTCATTAATCTCTTATCACAAAAATGTCATATTTCCAGTATTATCGAGCCAAATAGACTAACTGTAGCAAAGTTAACTCTGCCTTTATGTCTAGAATCCAATAGATATGTGTTGGCGTGTTGTTAATGTGTAAATTCTTGTTCAGTATTTAATGTGTTTCACTGTAACTTGGTGGCAGCAGTTGCTGGTGAGTGTGAGGGAGGTACTCAGCATGTTGTGTGCATGTCGCCTCCAGAAGCACTCTCTCAGGCACCTAGACACTCATCACTCGAGCCACCTACGGAGGCCTCTAAAGAAGCACCAAAAGGAGCACTGTCAGGGGCACATAAGGAGGCACTTAAAGGAGCTTCTACGGAGGCGTCCAAAGGAGCTTCAAATGAAGCACCAAATGTAGCTTCTATGGAGACGCCTAAAGGAACCTCTAATGAGGCACTCAAAGGGGCTTCTAAGAAAACACATAAAAGGATGTCGACGGAGATACTTAAGGTGACACTGTCAGGGGAACCTCAAGTAGCTTCTGAGGAGCAAGCGCCTCAAACAGCATCAATGGTGACATTAAAAGGAGCATCATCAGGGGCATCTAAAGAAGTGCCTACCGGAGTTCCAGAAGTGAAGATGCTCTCGCGACGAGCCAGTGTGAATCCGGCTCGATTACCCCCACCTGATCCCCCGAAAGGTTAGTATCGTAGAAATTTCGAGTCGCGGAAAGAGTGCATGAATGTATCATCTCACAAAATAAACGCATTGGTATGGCCTTCTCCTTCACATAAAACTTATAAGCGATCTCTACAGCTGTGTCAAGCCCATATCATTCCTCTACAGCTGGGCCAAGTCCTGGCACTTTCCTAACTACTTCTCCTTCCTCTACAGCTGGGTCAAACCATAGCACATACTCTCCACCTCGTCTTCCCCTTGAAAGCTATTTATGTATGCCCACTTTACCTTCTTCCTTTTGTATGTTTTAACTAAAAGGCGAGATTCACATCTACAAATACACACAATTAATAGAAACCAATCGTTATTGCTATTATTTTAATATATATAGAGAGAGAGATGCTTAAACACACGGATATAACATACCTGCTCTCTGGCCGGAGTATATGATTCGTCTACCGTTGATTTAAAAGCACTTATGACAAGAAACAGGATTCGTCAGTCACTGCATTATGCGTTCGCAAGTTGGGAAAACAGTGCCAGAGTTGGATCTCGGCCCTGAAAGCTCTGTTAAATAAGAGAGAGGATGCAGACGAGGAGTCACAATAACGTGGCTGAAATATGTTGACCAAACCACACACTAGAAAGTGAAGGGACGACGACGTTTCGGTCCGTCCTGGACCATTCTCAAGTCGATTGTGAGAGAGAGGATCATAAATTTCAATTGAATCTTCAACATACATATTGAAAATAAACCCCCCGTTCATTAAGATTATTTTCATACATTGCTAGGAATTGCCTCCGACGACGTTTCAATGTTTAAAAAGATGGTAGAAATTGAACTAGAGTTCTCATCAAATATATTTCGAATAACTATTTTGACGACTAAAGTTTATATAAAATCAGTCTAGTGGCAACCACTCGTTGCATTATACGACAGTCTAATGGCACACTTCGTCCATTTTTAAGACGGTAGGTAACCCATACCCAGCGTCTTAAACGACCAGTCATTAATTAATTGTTCAGTTATAATGATCAGGAGTGTAATAGCCAGTATTTTTTCCTGGCCTTTACTTTCCTTTCAGGGGGCACTAAATGCATGAAGAGTAAGCACAGTATAACGTTTTTTACCTCAGTATTGTGCTGCTGTGAAGCATGTGAACTATAACATGAATGTGGTGTTCTCACGTGAACAGTGTGTGTGTGTGTGTTTTATACTTTTTAATCACAGCTCTCATATATATATATAATATATATAATATGCATGTATATATGGGACATTAGCACACAATGTGTGATCACTTCGAAAAGAGTATTATTGTAAACAAGATATAAGCAATATATAAGTGATATACAGTAATACCCTGCAAGGGGCCGAGTCAAAAAGACACTAAGAATGTGTTCAGATACCACGTTCCATTTTTGACACTTAGTTTCACAGAGTGTGTCCAGTTCTGGGAAGATTTATCATTCTTCGTTTCTTCAGGATAGAAAAGTGTTGCCTGCAAACCGCGCGCAACTTCTGATTTTCGTTCAACCTTAATGTTGGTGTGGTTCCTGTACCGTGAGACTATAACGGTGTACCGTGAGACTATGACGTGTACCGAGAGGCTATGATGGTGTACCGTGAGACAATGACGTGTACCGAGAGGCTATGATGGTGTACCGTGAGACAATGACGTGTACCGAGAGGCTATGATGGTGTACCGTGAGACAATGACGTGTACCGAGAGATTATGATGGTGTACCGTGAGACAATGACGCGTACCGTGAGGCTATTATGGTGTCCCGTGAGGTTGAGGTGGTGCTCCTTAAGGCTATTTCCCTGTAACCTTCGTGTGTGTGTGTGTGTGTGTGTGTGTGTGTGTGTGTGTGTGTGTGTGTGTGTGTGTGTGTGTGTGTGTGTGTGTGTGTGTGTGTGTGTGTGTGTGTGCGTGCGTGTGCGTGTGCGCCATTATATAGCTGGAGACAACTGAAGAGCCTGCAGATGCCATTAATTAATGAACATACTCTTCATTCAGATAATGACGTGACTGTAGCCTCATTGATTATCTTCATACAATGCAGGAATACAGCGCAATAACTTACTTCAACAAGCTACTCGGAATATACTCTGTAATCCAGAAAACCGTAATTGAGATTGTTTCTGAAAAGTAGCTTCGATAAGTATGTGTAAATAATGTAGCTTTTGGTTACTTAATCATCTGTATGTTCGTGCTTTCTTCTGCGTTTTAATAAATTACATGAATATCTTAGGCAGAGAAAAACTTATTTCTGTATAAATATATATATAGAGGAGTTCTCCAAAAGTCATGTTCGTTTTTCAAGGTGAAGAAAAAAGGTGCATAACTATAGAATGTATTACATTCTATAAAATAACTATAGAATGTATTACATTCTATAGTTATTCATATATTCGTATAATTTGTAGTTATTCGTATAATGTATAAGAAGTGTATCGCTACTTTTCGACCGTCAACTCGCTACTTTCAGCAATTTAGATCTGGCATCCCTGGCTCCAGAGAGGCTGTGTGGACAGAATGTAAACAAAGAGGCGAGGCCATAACGTGTTACACACAGGGAGATTAGCCTCCCTCTCTAGTCGATCCTTATAGATTATACACTTCCCGTGAACTTCTTGACGTAGGAATTACAGTCTCCGATCAACCCACGATTTCGGTACCTTGGGAAGTATTGTACCCGGTAAAATTAATTGTGTATATGTATAAATTGGTGGCCATTAATTTTATGTACAAATTTTGCCGGTTATGAAGACTGACCAACACCCGGAACGGGTAGGTTGTTATTCTAACATAATATAGATTTCTTCCTTGCTATATGCTGTGTTTAGTAGTGGTAGGTTACTATTATTAGTTACTCTGCAGGTGCAGAGTAACTAATAAATATTTCTTCCTTCCTAAGGAAGGAAGAAATTACGAGTCATCCTAGTGCAACAGGAAGCATTCACATTTACCATTAGGGCTCATACCCACATTCGTGACTAAGAATGTTCAATGCCTATTGTCAGGCAATAACAACTTAACAGCTGAGGCCAATGGTTACCATTTTACTAATCCATTTTAGCTGTAATACTAACCCAATTTAGCAGTAGAACCTGAACTCAGTAGTTTATTACAATTATCAATTATTTAATTAATAGGCTCTGTACATAACTCCCCCAAACATGTGTACAGGTAAACACCCAGCAGGATAACTTAAATATGCAGTCCAGTTTGAATTAATAATAATAAATTAAAGTTCATAAAATTAAAATTTTAATATATAAATAAATAAACAAACAAAATCCAGCTAGCAAAAACCCCCAACAAGTTTGTGGTCCTCAACGAGCCGGAAGAATTGGGAGCATTAAATTTTTTCTCACCAAAAGTTTATGGTCCTTAAGAACCAGGATCATGCTTATAATCCAAACAATGAAATGACCAATGCAATTAATATATAAATTATTAAATATAGCAGCAAACGTACACTGCTATAAATCACAGTAGCCTCGTTCAGTCAACCTCAGCCAGCAATACACAGAAATTACAGCAAACAAGCACCATCATTGTTCCAAGAAATCAACCAAAGAACAAAAATACGTACATTTAAATAGGTGATTGAAACTACTGCTGCTAAGACAATATTAACAGCGGTCCTTGGTTAGTCTCATCACTTAACAAATTAATTAACACCATTAAATAACACAAGAGGTTGATAAGAGGCTATTACCCATAAATAAATAAATATATATCTATCTTGAGTTTAGAGAGAAACATTTAACATATAAATCATGAACCCATAAATATTGCATCATTCTATTTACTGCATAATATAGCATTTAATTAGTGCCAACTCTTATTCAGGGGTGAGTCAATATTAGATTAGTGCTAATGATCAGCCTAGTCTAATCTAATTAGTTCTGTTAACCCAGTGTAAGGGTAGGATTTCACACTTGTCTAGGGTTGAGCTAATTGTACAGCCTAGCAAGTACTTAAACATTGTACAGAATCTTTTAATCATTAACAACACAATTTGTTTTGTACACAAGTACTTATTTATGTGTAATATTACCATATTTTTTATCATTGTAATTATTTCACCTTTGAGTGTTAAGAAGTAAGCTATTCATCCGATGGTGATTATGAGGAGCTAACCTAGGTATTACCTGTAGTGACACTGATTACCACTCAAATAATTGTGTGTATATTTACCATTTATGTGCCAAGTTCCTATGAAGTAGGATATTGTAGCCTAGTGACTGAAAATATTCCTAGACTACTACCAATAGTACTTGTTCAGCATTTATGAGCAACCCTAGCAAAAGCACTTCAAGGCTTAACCAAACAGCCAGTATGGCTACTTCAGAAAAACTGAAAAGGACCCTAAGAGATCTCCAAGGCCACCTAAACAGACAGATTAATAAATGCTACAATCTGTCACAACAATCACCAGTTGACTATGTTGAACTAAATAGCTACTATCAAGAAGCTGCAAGTAAATTTGAGCAAGTCAAATGCCAGATAGAAAAGTATTTGGCTGAACTTGTCAACACCAATTTATTGGAAACAGAATTAGACGATGTTTTGGTTGATCTGGCAAATTACGAGGATGACACTCAGGCCAAGTTACACCGTTTCGACAAAATAATTGTCAATTGTAAGGCAATAACAACAACAGCTTCCCCTAACACAACACAATCAGAGGTTAAACTGCCTTCAATCAGTGTACCCACATTCTCAGGTTCAGAGAATGAAAGTTGGGACAACTTCTGGAACAGATTTGTTGACTCATTAGATTCTAAACTCACTATTCCTAAAACTACCAAATTCAGATACTTACAGTGTCAACTAAAGGGTGAAGCTTTAAAGGTGGTATCCAATTTACCATTAAATAGTGATGGCTATGATCTCGCAGTCCAGCTCCTTAAGGATAAATATGCTGGCACAGAGAGAGCTGTTATGATCTTAGTCCATAAATTGTTGGACTTACCATCTACAGATGGTTCCTCTGACTCACTCCAAG